TATCCATGTGGAATCTCTCGACGGGTCTCCAATGTTTTGTTCTATAACAAAAACATCTACGTGTTCATTTAAGTGTCACCACATTTTAGTTTGTGAGATCAACTACTTACTTCACAAGTAAGAAATGCTACACGTGATGGTCTATCCGTAATAACGATATCCGTATCTCGTTATTACTTTCGACCATGGACGATTTAAGATTCAATCAGATGTAATTTGTATCTCACAATCACAACTCCTTGTGATTAACAAATACAAATATTTGAATCTATGGACTCTATTATTTATTTAATTGTCTATTAATTAAATAATAGATCTGCCATTTAATTGCATTAATTATATATAAAAGTATTTATGTTCAAAATTGATTGGACCTAGGACATAATACTTACAGGTTAAACGGGGTTTAAGCTTGTTGTAGGCATAACCTACCCGTTTCCTCATGAAATCTTGAGAAAGAAGCTGGAAGGGGTGCTAATGTGGCATGTTATGTGCCATAATTTTAACTATTTAAAAAGAAATAACTTTGAAGGCCTATTTGTTCTCCTTTAATTTCAAAAAGTGCATTATGGAATAGTGATTGATATTGAAATGTGTGGTTAAAAAAAAAAGAAAAGTTTTTAATTTATGTGTAATATTATTTAAAGAATGTGTGATTAAAAATGAATAATATATATATAATAATGTTATAGAATGTGGTGGGATAGATTGATAAAGGGTAATTGGCACAAAACGACCATACCTTTAAGGTTTATTGTGGAAAACGTCACCACCTCTCATTTTTTGACATTTTTGCCCTTATTTTCACATTTCTTTGTAGAAAATATCATTTTTACCATTTTTAGTGTAAAATGACCAAAATACCCTCATATTTAAATAAAACCCAAAAAATAAAGAAAAAAATAAAGAATAAATTACAATCTTACTCCTAAAATGATTTAAAAAGTGTAAGTGAGTTCAAATAATTATTAAAAGGGCTAATAGCACAAAATGTCCATACGTTTGGTCTATAGTATGAAAAACATCCCTACGTTTCAAATTGACGAAAGAGATATTTTCCGCAATGAAACATCGAAGTAGGGATGAAAACGCAAAAAAATTGAAAAATTGAGACGCTTTTCTGCAAAAAGTGTCAAACGTAGAGATATTTTTTGCTATTAGCGCTTACTAAAATTTTGAAAATAACAAAAACTATATTTTTCCCCCCTCTCTCCTTTATTCTTCTCCAAATAGGTCAATCACCTTAGAAGCCAAAAAACTCTAGCAAATCACCATCCAAACTGTTGGACTACTATACCACTGAAAAGTCCTCACTTCCTTCTACACATACTATCCAACATCCAATCTTGAAACCTTCATTTCAATAGATTTATTAGGAATTGCAAGCCAAAATACCCAACTCGCGAATGTAAATACTGACGGCATCACCTATTTCGGAGAGACCCATGTTATTTCTAACACACCAATTGACTATACTCACTAGGGTGCCTCTTTTCATGGTCTTAAAATATCAACAGATAGTTCAGCGGTATGGAGGTTCAACGGTTTGGGCGATGATTAGTCGAAGTGTTTTCACTTCTAATGTGGCAGTCCCATTTGGAGAAAAAGAGAAGAGAGATATATATATTTTTTAAATATTTTAATAAGACCTAATGACAAAAAAAATAAAAATTCATACATTTGAAACTTCTTGCGAAAAATGTGCCTGCGTTTCAATTTTTTTTTGCATTTCCATCCCTATTTTCACGTTTCATTGCGGAAAATGTCTCTTTCATCAATTTTAAACGCATGGACGTTTTGTGCTATTAAGCATTTTAATAATTATTTGGACTTACTTGCACTTTTTAAAACATTAAGAGTAAGATTGTAATTTATTCTTTACTTTTTTTTTTGAGTTTTATTTAAATGGGAGGGTATTTTAGTCATTTTACATTAAAAATGGTGAAAATGACGTTTTCCGCAAAGAAAGGTGAAAATAAAGACAAAAATGTCAAAAAATGAAAAGTGTGAACGTTTTTTACAATAAATCTTAAAGGTGTGAACGTTTTGTGCCAATTACCCGATTGATAAACAAAGGTTGAATAATATATTGCCCTTGTTTGAGCTCTATTTTAAGGGGAAAAATGAATTTTTGAATTGTGTATTAATGAAAAATGTGTAGTTAAAAAATAATGAAAAATTTTGAATTTGCATATGTGATTGAAATAATCTCAAAATACTGTAGAAAAATTTAATTTTTTCAAAGAAGATGATTAGCGGTTGATGACTATGAATAGTTCTACTCATTTTGCAGTCTCTCCTTTTATTTGTTTATTATTATTTTTGAGCTAACAACTTTTGACCCTTTTTCCACTTCGCCGTCTAGTCTACGCCACCAAAATTACACGTGTCAGAAACCCATTGCACCTCATCAAATATCTCTTATCTTCACATAAATGAATAATCTTTTCTTTGCAAGTTAATTGTTTCAATGGTCACTAAACTTAAGCTTATGTTTTTAATTAGTCACTGAAGTTTAAAATATCGAATTTTGATTATTAAACTTAGGTCTATGTCTTCGATTGCTCACTGAATTTAGGTTCATGTTTTAGATTACTCACTAAAGTTTAAAATGTGGAGTTTTGGCCACCGAACTTTGAAACATATCGTACGTTACTCACTATTATAACTGTTGAATTTTAAAAAGTATTGAATTTACAGTAAGTGATGTATATCATTTTTCAAAGTTCAGTGAGTAATGTACAATTCAGTTGTCAAAACTCGACATTTTAAATTTCAGTGGGTAATCGAAGATATAAACTTAAATTAGTGATCAAAACTCAATATTTTAAACTCCAATGATCAATCAAAGACATGACCTAAGTCTAGTGACTATTGGAACAATTAACTCTTCCTTTGCCGTGAACAAATGAGCTACTTCCCCTACAAATACCTTTCCCCAACCCTTCTCCTTGCACTGCAATCTCCTTGCACTGCAATCTCAATTTTCAAACTAGTTTTCGTAAGTCATCCAAATTAATTATCAAGGTAAGTTTCTTATGTTCGTCTTAAATTATTGCGGTTCAAAATCATTTTTTTTATTGAATTTGTAAACATATAGGGTTGTTCCTTGGTGGTGGACATTTTTCTCTTTTTGATTATGTTCTTTGAAATCCCTTCATTCCATGTTGAAAGTAAATTATTTGTGTAAGAATCTTGTAATTTATTTTATGATTATAGCTTTTTTTGTGCTAATATAAGATCTTGATTTGTATTTTTGATACCCTTGTGAAAGTAAATTATTTGTGTTAGAATCTAGTCATTAATGTTTTGATTATATCTTTTTTGGTTAGTATAAGATCTTGAATTGTATTCTTGAAAGTTTCTTTTTTGTTAGCTTACGACCTTGAATTACATTCTTGAAAGCCCTTTATTCCGTGGTGAAAGGTAAATATTTCTGTAATCTTGAATCAATTTCATGAGTATGGCTTTGTTTCTTTCAAGTACATTTTACCCCAATTAATGGGTGCTGGAAATTTATTTTGTAACTGAGATCTAGAATTATAACTTAACCCAATGGTGAAATGAATTGTTTGTTTTAGAATTTCATTATAACTATATGATTATGGCTCTGTTTTGCCAAAAAAATAAAAATTAAAAAATTAAAAATTAAATTAAATTAAAGAAAAATCTTACCCCAGTTAGTGGTTGCTAGAAATTTTAGTTCTGTAATCTAAGATCTCGAATGATACAGATGCAGATCTTTGTTAAGACCCTTACAGGCAAGACCATAACTCTTGAGGTCGAGAGTTCAGACACAATTGATAATGTTAAAGCTAAGATTCAGGATAAGGAAGGAATCCCTCCGGACCAACAACGTTTGATCTTCGCTGGTAAACAACTCGAGGACGGCCGGACACTAGCGGATTACAACATCCAAAAGGAGTCCACCCTCCACCTGGTTCTCCGCCTCCGTGGTGGCATGCAAATTTTTGTCAAGACCTTGACAGGAAAAACAATAACCTTGTAGGTTGAGAGTTCTGATACGATCGACAATGTTAAAGCTAAGATTCAAGATAAGGAAGGCATCCCTCCGGATCAACAACGTTTGATCTTTGCTGGAAAACAGCTGGAGGATGGCCGGACTCTGGCAGACTACAACATCCAAAAAGAGTCTACCCTCCACCTGGTCCTCCGCCTTCGTGGTTTCATGCAAATCTTTGTCAAAACCTTAACAGGAAAAACAATAACCTTGGAAGTTGAGAGTTCAGACACAATTGATAATGTTAAGGCGAAAATTCAAGATAAAGAAGGAATCCCTCCGGACCAACAAAGGCTTATATTTGCAGGCAAACAACTTGAAGATGGGAGGACCCTTGCGGATTATAATATCCAGAAGGAGTCGACCCTTCACCTTGTGTTGAGGCTGAGAGGCGGCATGCAAATTTTCGTCAAGACATTAACGGGGAAAACTATTACTTTGGAGGTTGAAAGTTCGGACACAATTGATAATGTTAAGGCAAAAATTCAAGATAAGGAAGGAATTCCACCAGACCAGCAGAGGTTAATCTTTGCTGGGAAACAGCTCGAGGACGGGAGGACTCTTGCCGATTATAATATCCAAAAGGAATCGACTCTTCACCTTGTGTTGAGGCTCAGGGGTGGTTTTTGAGCTTGGGTGTGAAAGATCAGGCGTCTTAAGAAATCAAGATTATAAATGTTTGTGCTGGTATATTACAAGACTGCTGCTTTTCTTGTTTTTGTTCCTTCAATGACTGGTTTGTGAACATGTGAATAAATTGTGTTGCGTTCAGATTGAATAAAATCAAGTGTTTTTTGTCTAAGATGCTGTCATGATTTTAGCACAATACTTTGTGGATTGCTGCATGTGCTTCTGGGAATAGCCTTGTTGCATTGAAACTCCATCTACCGTATGCAGATATCGTTCATCAGTAGAGGATTAATTGAATTTGAGATTTCTTTTGCCTAGTGTTCAGTGCCATAACACGAAATACGTGTAATGTTGAAAATGTTATATTGCATAAATAGTTCAAATTTAATGAATGCAATAACTCAGTACAAATGGTAACGCAGTACAGCATATAGAAGCCAGTGAAAACTTGTAACCTAAGCAACAAAGAATTTATCTGCTATGACTTAACGCAATCTCGAGATATTATTACTGTGACGAACAAAAATCCCAAAACTCCGAATCAGTCCCATGGACTTAACCAACATTCCTCAGGCAAAGTTGGGTATCTTTCAGTATCCTTGCAATAATCATATATTACAAGGTTCCTTTGTACCCAAGCAAAATCCTTTTTATTGCCCTCTGAAAGGTGCCAGGCATTGTACTGATCCCACCAGTTATCAGTGGTGGTGGATACACAGGCAGGGAAAGGGTCTTCCCACTGACAACCGTCTGCAGTGAAGTCCTTATAAGATGACACAAATGGTGCCTTTTCCCAGTCTGTCCTCTCGAGGCCGCCTCTCGTTGCCCAGTCATCTGCGTTCCAGATGCTTGAGAATAAGTACATTGGCTTCTCGTTTGGGAAGAAGTTGTTCGTGTAGTTTGCATTTTTGTATACTCTTATCGGAACTCTATCCACGAAAAACCTGTCTTGGAAAGTAATTAGAGGTAAGTTTTCGTCAAGAAAATAATCAGAAGTCTCTTTATCAAGGATCAATCCCATCTGCAGTGTTACAAGCATTATTGAATGAGTGATACTAAATCTATGTCATGTGTGTTAAGATTAAACTAGGATGATCTAATACAAAAACATGAATACCCAATATCTCGATGCACATTCCACGAGGTAATTGAACATATGATTAAGCTTCACACAGTCCAAAATTTCACTTCGATCTCAGGATTCGATTATTGATGCAGCATTACCTTTCACTTTTGCAACTAGTCAAGTACTAAGAAAAGGCTAACACAATGAATAAAACAGATAATTACACTATCTGATGATTGTTCCATAGAATGGAATAGGAGTGGAAATCTTCAGTAGGATCAAACCACAAACTGTGCCTCATCTCACGCCCACCAGTTCCATTCTTGTACACATTTGTTTGTAATAGATAAGGTTGCCCACTTCTATTCCCCAAGAACTCAAAATCCAGTTCATCTCTCTCTGGCCCTGCTGCATTTTCAGTACACATCTGCATCAAACACAATTTTCCACTAGAATCATAAACTGTTCGCTCATTCATGTTGAGTACTGCGTGCTCGACTTACATAATAAGCTGTTACGACTCCAGCTGAGTCGCCTCCCACCAGTTTCAGCTTCATGCTAAACCACCCAAATCTGTATCTTTGCTTGGTTATAAAACCACAACCTATGAACAAATACAAGAACCCTTCTAAAAAAAAAATTATTATGACGAAGATCAAATGATTATGTCATAAATATATAAATACCTGCTTGTTTGTCCAAGGAGAGGGACCAGGTTGATCCATCATCAGAAGTCTCGAAATTGTTGTCTGGACAGCTTTTACTAAAATTATCTTCGAATGAATTTGAATCTGCTGCTTTAGATAATTTACCAAATAAAGTAAAAAGAATTGCAATGAAGAAAAGATTGAAACATGAACAAGCCCTTCTCTCCATTTTCTGTAGAAGTTTGAAGAATGAGGCTTCTCAGCAAGATCTTGAAAAGATTATGAACAATAAATAGTATTTTTTATGCACTATTTGACAAACATAATATTGCTAATAGTAATATATATACAACTTGCTTCATTTCATATTATAAAAGCAGCCTTAACTATCGGTTCAACTAAAAAAACTGAGAATCGATCGAAAAGGGTTCGATTATATATTAATATAGAGTACTACATAAAGACACCGACAGGATTTAGAAAAAGATGGCCAGATGAGTTTGAGGAGAAGCCAGGCTGCCTACATATGTTTCCAAATTGTTGCTTGTAAGAACGTGATTGCATTTGATTGGTCTTATAATGATAAAAGGTTGCCAACTGGAAATGGTGCTCGTAAGAACAGTTTGATAGTATAGCATTCATGTTGTTCAATAGTGGTCAAGTCAACTGATTAAGTTAATTGAAAGAGATTAAAGTTTGTAATTGTAATTTGACTATCTTGTTTGGACTTAACTTTGGTTTGATTAAAATATGTTTTTTCGCCAAAAGCAGTGAAATTCTGCTGGGGAAAAGGGATGCTGTTAGAATTGTGTGGCCAACAAGATAAGGACTGGAAAGCTGAAGAAGATTAGTCACCTGGTAGAAATTAAAATTCAGATTTAAATCTATGTCAAAGTTAATAATTAATTTTAATCACACATTTCATAATGTTTATAAATTTCTAAACATGTATTTCATCAAATTTTATCAAAATCTACTAAAATTCTGATTTTTAATCCCTAACAAGCAGTAGTTAACTTTTTACTTAAATAATTTCTTACTTTTTAATTGAGGGAACACAATTAAAAGGGCTTGTTAGGATGGTTTTTCCAAGTGAAAAATGACATTTTTTTAAGAATATGTAGTTAAAATGTAGTGAAAAGTTATGAGTCTCGTAGAATTTGTAGTTGAAAATGATTTTTAAAACGAAAATTCCAAAAGCCATAAGGATTAAGGCTAATAATTATTCGGTAATCCTATTGATGAGAAGGCTTTAAAGTGAACATGTTGGATTAAAATAATTATTAAACCGTGACACACTGTTACCGGTTATTATGGGATGAGAGAGTTTATGTGTACAGAAAATGGGTTTGCAGAACTTTTGCAGAATACACACAACATGGGCGTGGATGATTTTTTTGGACAATATTTTAAACATTTGGAGCCCACCCCATGTGAGCATATGTAACAATTCTGTAAATCTATTCACGGTACAAATGGTTTAAGGCTTGTGGGATAATTTCCCTTTGCAATAGCGATATCTTGACGTTGGCTTCTAATAAATGAATTTGACTCCCCTTGGGTCTTGCGACAGTTTGGCCGAGTGGTCTAAGGCGCCAGATTTAGGCTCTGGTCCGAAAGGGCGTGGGTTCAAATCCCACAGCTGTCAAAATTTCTCTTTTTTCATTTCTTATGCATTTATCTTATTTTTCCCAAGTAAACACTTCGATGCAAATTTATTTGTTTATTTTTTAATTCAGAAGTATACATGTCACCTAGGCTGTCTAATGTTATTGTAGAATTTTACCTCATGAACCAAAAGCATATGTTCATGTACTCAACTTTGTATAAAAATCATAAATGAACTTACAATTCTATATTATACGTGAATTAATTTATTAATAAAAAATAATAGAAACATCGACATGACAAACACAGTCCCTACTTGGTGGAGACGTGACAATACATTTAACAAGTTAATTACGCTAATGGTTCATAATTTTATCCTTTGTATCAAAATTATACGTGAACTCACAAATTTGTATACCGCAACATACTCGAAATTGACTTCCAATAAACTTCAAATAGTTGGATTCAAAAACTAAAACATTTGCATTCCAAATGTTTCATTTCAACGAGAAAGTCATTTCAAGCACGCACTGCTTACTAATTTACGTGAATGTTTTAATAAGATAATTTTGGTGTGGATGGAGAAATCAATTTTGAAAATGTTTTTTAGCATTCAATTGAAGCTCATGAAAACAATCCAACAAAAACAGAGTTTGAACAATTATGAAAGCACCATGTGTCCTAAAATTGCTAAGAAGCTAGAGAACAAGAGGCATGCATCATCCCTTTCCACTTCTCAATAGCATGAGGTAAGTGACAATAGAACAAGTCTCGTTTGGAACATTTGGAAGACAAATATTTTAGTTTTTGAATTCAACTGTTTAGAGTTTATTGAATATTCTAAATTTAATGTCATAAATAACATAATTAAAAGGAATGAAAAAAAAAATCATATATTTTATAGAACACTGTTTGTCATGTGAATCATTCTGTTATTTTCGAAGAACAGATATTAATTCATGTATGGAAGAGATACAATTTCGTAAAATTCATTTATGATTTTGATACAAAGCTATGTTTGTGTATGAGTTCATGTAAGATTCATATAATTAATTTTTCAAGTATCTTTCATGTTATTGTTACATAGACACTTCGTTTGCTAGGTAAACTGTTCCGTTAATTTTAATTGATGAAAATCATTTCATGTATAAATAATATAACGTAAATTTGTGAATTCGTGTATAATTTTAGTATAAAATTAAGTTCAGATAAATAGAATATAGTTCATTTACCATTGGTGCTTTTAACCATTAATCATACTTTAAAAAAATATTAGCTGAGTAAATATTTAATTTTAATTTTTTAAAAAAAATTGAGAAAACAAAAGGAAGGAACAAAAATAGCAAAATCCGAACCGTCCCGAGCAGCGTACCAGCTTCGCCGCCGCGTCATCCACCGGAGTCCCCTATTTCCGCAGCAATTCCCCACCCCCTTCCCCCAGTCCCAGTCCCAGTCCCAGTCCGGCTCCGGCTCCGGCTCCGGCTCCGGCTCCGGCTCCGCCTCTTCACAATTTATCAGAATCAGATGTTTTCTCTACATTAAATTTCAGATCGGGGCAGATATTTGAAGTTTCGAACATGCAAAATTCATGGCTGCTGTACTTTTGCCTGCTGGTCTTCATTATAATACTCACTTTTCCAGTATTCGCTCATGGAAATGCGTGAGTATTATATTCACCATTTCTTTTCAAGATTTAAACTTATTTCTAGATTTGGGTAAAATTCCGCTTAGGTCTGGCATTATTTTGGTTGAATTAAGCACCAAATTGGTTTCATTTTTTGCTGAATTCTGCCATTTTTTTTATGAAGTTTAGCTTTTGAGATTGATTTTGTCACTGAGGAAATATAATTTTAAAAATCCACTCGACAATTTTTTGTTCCTTTTCTTTTTCGTTCTGTTCTATCTGCATAAGCATGTACGCTTCAAAATAAGTACAAGAAAGTAAACTCTTTTATTTCTGAACATGTTTGGATGTACCGTGTTGGAATTACTTGATTGGGGGTAAACTTGATTTCGAGCTAGCTCCCAATCATGCCTTCCCAGATAAAGATTCATTCAGTCTCTACAACACTTACCTTTACTCATAAAAAAGTTGTTTATTGAAAGTAGCTCCTTTTTACCACCAACTTAAGTAATTTATTTTCAATTTTAGATTACTAAAGAATTACTTTTTTGAAATTTACTCGTTTATGATTAATTATTTTACTTTAGGCAAACAAGTATGAGCCTCAGTCGTTACTAGTTGATTTAACAACAATTGACATGTAGAGTGTTTACTTCTTTTGCATATTTGGAAGCCTTACACTATAATTCACATGATTGACAGTAAAGTTTTGCCTGTGGGCGAGGAACTATTGAAGGAAACTTTACCATTACAAATGGGTTCACGCCTTTACGAATTGAAAGGGCTAAAGCCGCATACTTGGTATGAAGTGAAGATATCATATCCGGCTTCTGTATGTATGTTGAATTTGTATCTTTTTATTTTTCCTTTTAAAATATTAGAGCCATTAAAGACTTGCACCAATGTGATTAAATGAATGACAGATACCCTCTAGTTTCTCTTTACAATTAAAGAGAGGTAGTTCGGACTTGGGATTGAATATGGGAAGAAAATTGCTGAATACGGAAAAGTTGATTTTCAAGACTGATGGAATAGATTCATTCAGTGACCAGGTTTGATAATGCATCGCTGTCTTATGGATATTATCCTATTCTCTTCTGAGGTTTTGAATTTTGGAGTCCTTTTCTTTTTTCAGCAGGGATTGCATGTAATGGTAAATGTTGAGCCTGAAGGGGTGGTTGCAATACCAGGGAAACAGGAGAGGAAATTTGTAATATTTAATATAGGTAACCTAAAGTTCTGATTTGGTTCGTAGCATATTGCATAGCTTCATTTCATGCTTGTTCGAGTAATAGCAATGATTTTACCCAATATAATGCTAAGGATAGCTAGTATATCTTGAAGAAGATTCCTTTTGTTTGATGAGAAATAAAATGAAATATTGAGGATTCAAATACTGAGCCGGCTATTTTTAAACTAACAAAAAGAAAACTAACGTTGTGGTATACCAAAATCTTAAAGGAGAGAATTAGCTATATATTGGAGAATATTGTGCTCTCGCAGTTACAAATTGCTATTCCTATTTGAAGTTATTCTTATCTTTGTTAAGTGTATAATTTTTGGTTGGGTACTCTTAAGCTTCATGACATTGTTGTCTACCTTAATCATTGAGCTAGTAGTCACTTTATGAATATTAGGTTGCTTTGGATGAATCTAGGCGATTGTGTCATCCATTGTGGCATTGTTGTCTACCTTAATCATTGAGCTCGTAGTCACTTAATTAATATTAGGTTTCTTTGGATGAATCTAGGCGATTGTATCATCCATTGTGTGACATTGTTGTCTACTTTAATCATTGAGCTAATAGTCGCTTGATTAATATTTGGTTTCTTTGGATGAATCTGCTCGAAGCATGGTTCAAGATGTTAGTGCTTTGTTAAACAATCCTTGAATGTATTCATTTTATGTTGACTTCATCAATCATAAATGGATCCAACGGCTCTAATGACTGTAAAGGAAATAAGTCATGTTAAAAAGAAATGATCAATTGTACTACGATTTCTTTTCTTTGTGGTAGATTGTTAATTGATTTTGTCTTGCTGATATATTCTAAGTTGCTGGGAAGCGATGGGTATGCATACAAATGTAGTTTTTTCCGCTTATCATCTGCCTTGTATGTATTCTATTGTATATATCGCATGCACTTCCAAGTTCCATGCATTTGGCCCTGCCCATTAGTCTTCTCATTATATCGTATGTGATCTATGACAAATTCTAACATTATATATACTGCAGTTTGTGATGAGTTGTTTCTTGGCATTCCTTATGAAGCCTGGTACGTTGTATTTTTGGTATTGCTCTGCTTGGGCTTAGCTGTTGTCGTCCCGAGTTTTCTTCCGCAGTTTCTGCTACCGAGGAACAGAAGTCCATCTTTAACTGATACGGATGCTACAAAGGATTCATAACTTGATAGAATATTTTTACTTAGTTTAGGTGTTCTGTTTTTATATATTTGTCTGAGCAGTGGATTTTACTGCAAGTACTACAGTTTTGTGAACAGTGAGAGATTTTTAACATCCTATATTAGGTATTGAAATATTATTATTCAATATATTGAAACATATTTTCATTGAAATTTTGTGGCCATTACTTTATAAACAATTGCGATGTCCTTTTGTTGAGTCACTTGACAATTTAACTCTATGTATAAGCTTAACGTATCGTATACATTCAAAAATATGCAAGTAAACTTACGTGAAGGTTTTCGTCAATTACCTAAGGCATCCACAGAAATGGAGCTAAAATTGGAGTTGACAAAAAAAGTACTAAAAATTCGTTCATTGCCATATACAGTACTATTTTTTGTTAAATTCGAGATTTCCAATATTTTTGGTTGTATAGTGCACTATCATAAGAGCACCTTCAATGGTGATATAAAATTTAGTGTAAATTATTTTTATATACCGGTAAATTTAAATTTTGTTCCAATGATTCATTTTTTACCTTTCGTGGATGTTTTATATTCTGTCAAAAAATGCAATTTGTATTTTTTTTGCATCTCTTCATTGGAGAGGTTTTCAATTACTTTAAAGATCTAAAATATAATTTAAATTTATTTTACACCATGATTGGAGATGCTCTAAAGGACCGAACAAATTCGTCGTAAAAACATTTCCTCATTTATGTACTCCATGTGAGTAAGCAGAAACCCCGACTTTAGTTTAAGCTGGAGAAAACTAGTATGAGTCACACCGTAGAGAAGCCGCCTCGTTCTTCCAACATGATGCTTCTCTTTGCAGCAGGAAAAAGAGCGACATTGCGTCCAAATGCTGTTTGTTCGCAAACCCCAAAATTTCTCCATCAAAATCTTTTTCTCAACTTCAATATCAAAATCAAAATCAAAATCAACTCCCAATTGGAGAAGTCAAATCAAAGAAACCCAACTAATCTCCCAAGTTTCTAAAATCTTGTTACAAAGGCACACCAAATTTTGGAACCCACTTCTCAAGTCCCTCAAATTTTCATCCAGTTTTAGTCCACCGCTCTTCCTCCAAATCCTCAAGCAAATCCAAACCCACCCTGATGTGTCCCTTAATTTCTTCAAATGGGCCAAGAAAAATCTCAATTTTGAACCGGACCTCCGAGCATTGTGCAAGATGACCCGGATACTTTTCGGGTTCGGGCTGTCCAAACCCGCTAGACCCCTATTGGATAAATTGGTTCGAGACTATCCTCCAAACCTATTTGTGTCTTCATTGATTAAAGGTTCTGACTTTCACCTTATATCCTTTACTCTAAGTGCTCTTCTTGAATGTTTTTGCCATAAGTGTATGTATTTGCAAGCTTTGGAGGTTTATAATAGGGGAAAAGATTATGGAGTTATAGTTACTATAGATAGTTGTAATGCATTGCTGAAGTTGTTAAGTGATGAAAATGAGATAAGATTGGCTTGGTGCTTTTATGGTTCAATGATTAGAAATGGGGTTTTTGAGAATCAGTGTACGTGGTCTTTGATTGCCAAAATTTTATATACAGATGGAAAATTTGAGAGAATCGCCTGGGTTTTAGACTTGGGAATTTATACTCCCGTGATGTATAATTTGTTAATTGAGTGTTATAGTAAAAAAGGAGAGTTCAGAGCTGCTTTTGGTTATCTAGATGAGATGTGCAGTAAAAAAATTGAGCCGAGTTTTAGTACTTATAGCTCCATTCTTGACGGGGCTTGTAAGTATCAAGATGCAGGAGTGAGTGATAAAGTACTAAATTCTATGATGGAGCTGGGTTATCTCCCAGAATATCTTGTTTCTGAGTATGATTTTATTATTCAGAAACTTTCTGGTTTGGGAAATACACATGCTGCAGATTTCTTCTTCAAGAGATCTTTTGATGAGAAGATCCAACTACAACATAATACCTATGGATGTATGCTTGAATCATTATCCAAGGAAGGCAGAGTGAAGGATGCAATTGCGCTGCATCACATTATGCTGGGAAGGAAAATTGTGGTTAATGAGAGTTGTTATAGTGCATTTACAAGTGCTCTTTGCGAAGAAAATCCGTCAGAGGAAGTTAGCAAATTGTTAGTTGATGTGATAAGAAGAGGTTTCAGTCCTGCAGCAGAACTTTCTAAATATATTAATAGACAATGTGCTGAAGGTCGATGGAGAGAGGTAGAAGAGCTCTTGAACGAAATGCTTGATAGAGGGTGTTTTCTAGATTCTATTTCGTGTGGTTCATTGGTGAAACATTACTGCTTAAGCAAAAAAATCAATTCAGCAATAGCGTTGCATAATAAATTGAAGGGATTGGAAGGTACTTTGGATGCAAGAGCATATAATGTACTTCTCACCGGGCTCTTCGAAGAGAGAAGGGTTGAAGAAGCACTCGGGGTGTTTGAATACATGAGAACGCATAAAATGCTGAGCAGTGAAAGTTTTTCACTTGTGATAAGAGGTCTCTGTCAGGTCAAGGAATTGAGGATAGCCATGAAATTACACAATGAAATGTTAGAGTTAGGACTTAAGCCTGATGGAAGAATGTATAAACGACTAATTTCTGGTTTTGGATGATTCCAATCCTCTGAGCGGATCATATTCATTTCTGATCTCTCATTGTTGCTGGCTGGAGATCAACGTATAAATACTGCTTGACATGCCCTTTTGTCTGCTCATTCTTCTGTGTATGATCAAATAATTTGACACCAGAGAGAGACAAATTAATCTAGGAAATATCGACACAGGTAATTATTTTCCGTTCTCTCAAATCTTTACTGAAAACTCGGTCCAATCCTTTCAGTAAAGCATTGAGCTGTAAATAGTTCAGATAGCTGTTTTCTCCATTTCTCATGATTGCTAATTCTTGTTAAGACGGTATTTGTTCTAGGCCCAAATTCAAGACATGGATGATAATGACAATGAATCTTTTTCCGCTCACTCTAAATGTGAATGCTTGAGACAAAAGAGGTAAAAAAAAAAAAAAGAAGCTTTTGGTGATGCTATCATTGATGGTGTGATCCATAGTTCATTGTCAAGACAATGGATAGAATGGAGAATATAACCCAACAAATATTTGGAGCTCGTAACAACAATTGTGAGTTCGAATAGAGCCTCTCACTAGGATTGAGTATTAAGGATGAGCTTCTAGCTTTTCAGATATTTGAATACTTTTAAGGATGTAAACTGAATTTGTTTTTAGAATTATGTTAAGTGTATGGTGTATATCTTTGTGTACATTCCATTGTATTTCCAAAAATGTTAGGCGGGAGGTGTGTTTTTTTTTATAAAAAAAATTGTCCAATCATGTATCGTCACATGACACAAAATAAAAAATGATGTGCATGTAGATGATTGTTGATCTTACGCTTTTAAGAGAACATAGTAGTGGTTGCACAGAATTGTGTTGAATGTTCACTTATTTTGGAGAATGTTGAGAACTTTGAAAACTTGTTTTAAATTGTGTCGTCTTCCTATTATTGTAGTTCATTTTTTTAATGGAATGGAGTTTGCTTGTTCTTTACAAAGTTGGAGTTATTGTTTTATCATAGTAATGTTCCATTGTGTTTTATTTCAAGAATTTAACATGTTTATTATGATTTATACAGATTGATAGAGACGAGGATGCAATAACTACTTTTGTTTTTTTAATTATGTTGATGTGTTGTGAATTTTATATTTTATTTCTAAATAGTTTGACATTTATCTTTATTTATTTATTCTGGAGGTGTGTCTACTAAACTAAACAAGATTAATAACATTGTCAAAAATATTATTTTTAATACTATTTTTATATTAATACAATACAACTTAATCCACCTTAATTAATTATCTCTCTCTCGACCCGTTTCCCTTATTCAAATACGGCTTAACAATCTTTTTATTTGTTGAAGCTCATAAACCTTCCTGGAAACTTCGTGTGTTCGATAACCATAAAACCCGTCTTTCCCCAAATGCTGAATGTGTCATTAGTGTTTTGGAGCGAGACTTGGGAAGGGGAGACTGCGTTTGAATTGATACGATACTATGGCTTCAACGTGCTAGACATGAAAGTAATAATCTGTATAGAACTACGTGTTTTTTAAGTTTAGATGATAGCTCTTACACCTCGCATGAGTATGTAAATAGAACAACGCTTTGAAAGTACTTAACCTTAAAGACGTGATTGTGGTATCTTATTTTGAATGCTTAATTCTCATCCTCATCTTTGGATTGAGATTTTGATGCATTGAGGGACATACGAACAATGAATGACCCGATCAAATAATCATTGATTGTAAAATATTGAGAATTTGATAGGCAATAGAGCGACGTGTCAAATCAATATCATTCAATCAACTGAAAAATAAGAAACTCTAGTCATGGTATCTTAATCAAAACCTTAAAAGCCTATTATATGAGAAATCACACTCCTTAAAATTAAAGTAGGACCAAATGACAAAATAAGAAAAAGGAATTATTTTTCTCACCACCCTCAATTCATTACTACATTTTCTATAAAAATTCAACACAATTAGATCATTAACGATCACAACTCTCTCTAAGACATGAATTTTTGACGTTCTTGATCATGCTACATGTCATCGGTAGCATTCACTATCCAAAAACACCCATAATATTTTGAGGAATATTTCAAGATCCAATCTGAAATTACGGAAAGCAGCTGTCTGAATGTGACCAACACACTTCCATATCAATAAATACCAAATTCTATGCATATCAAACGTGGCTCCAACAATTGAACAAACTTGCTTATAAAATAATACAACACACAACTGTAATCGTTAATAAGGTTGTTGAGTTTTAATATTTGTGTTCTTTGATAATTATTCTGAAAGAAGATGGGAAATAAATCTAATCACAAAAAATCCCATTTGCATTAAAATAGTAAACACGATTCTGGGAAATGGCCATCAAGAATAAAGAATGAAATGTTTTTGAACACTTGGGGTCCTAAAGTTATATTGCTTTATATTATTAACTAAGACCAAGTTTGGTAGGTATGTTTAAATAGGATTAGGCATTCAGAAAATATGATTTTAATTTATTTCTCTTACATAATGTTGTGTAGGACTCGATTGTTCACTTTACCAACAAAATATATAAGTAGATAAGCATTAGGTTACTATCTACTTATATAAGTAGATAAGCATTAGGTTGCCCTCCGAGGTATAGCCCAGTGGTGCAAAAGATAAGAGTGAGGTTATTTCACGCTTTGCTGGCAGCCGCAGTGTAGGGGTTCGATTCTTGAAACATGAAATTGGACTCCTTGTAAACGCAGTGTACATGCAGCTCTTGTTCTCTAACCTATTAGGTCACATTCCGCAATTTACCTCCCTCACAAAACTCGAGGGGCAGGGTGGGGCGGGGGCCCTCAAAGTTGGGGTTCAACCTTTTTTTTTTTTAGATAAGCATTATGTTTTGACTTGTAATTTTCTTTTTGTCCAATTTCCAATAATTATCACTGAATGCTATCTCACAAATGCTTTAGTAGAAGATAAATATATCGAATCATGGATTTAAGATTTTTTATCTAGTGCGGTTTTATATTGAACGATTACTTGAGCTAAAATGACGAGATAATTAATTCCCCAATATCTTTTTTTTTAGGTATTAAATTAAAATCTATGGTACGATATTTGATAATTATTCTGAAAGCTGATGAGAAATAAAGACAATAAAAAAAAAATCCCTATTGAATTGAAAATGTAATAATAAAAGATTTGGGGAAATGGATGTATGATCATCAAGAATAAAGAATGAAATGTTTTTGATAGTTGGGATCCTAAAGATATAATAAGGGCAAGTTCGTTACGATGTTCTTGGATAGGACTTAATTGTAAAGTAGACACGATTATTATTATTATTATCTCTTCTAATGTAGTTCAATTTTCAATGGTCGAATTTATCAACAAATAATAAGGGTATTAGGGTTTTGACATTTATTTTAAGCAAATGTATTCGGTTTTAGCTTGTTATTAATTTTTTTTTTGTACAATTTTCTATAATAATCATTAAATACTATCTCATGAAACTTATTATTAAGTTGAAAATAAAATTATTTGTAGTAATATTTTCAGCATTGTGCTCTCATATATAAGTCGGATTTTATGTCATCTCAAATGCACGGCAAGTAAAATTTCCATAATTTATGAGGCGTCAAAACTTGAATCAAAGTTTTTCGTCCACCGTAATTCTACATTGAATGATTACTTAAGCTAAAATAGCGACTTAATTTATTCAATAATGTTAAACAAAGAATTAGTTCATTGAATTATAATTGACAAAAGATCAATGAATAAAATTAGAGAATTTCTTATTTAGTTGAAAGTTTGTCTTGAAATCCACCACTCACCCTTGTTTTGGGAGTTTTAGTGGTTGTCGAAAACTCCATTTTCTCTCTCCTCTTTCTTCTCCCTCTCTCTCTCTCTTCTTCAGTTACACCCTAATTATTAATTTTTTTGCTTCTTTCTTGATTAATCTAAGAACCCTTTATCCAATTTTTGTTTTGCATGTATTCTTATGTAACTATGCATATACGTACCAAAAGCATTTGAATGAATTCTGGAAATGTAGCCGGAGCGGGAGGAGAAGCAGCTTCTGTATCGTATATCCTTCTCTGAAAAGGTAAGATTCTATGTGCTGTATTGAAAATAAATCATTAAAAAAGTATTATATTACTAGGTGTTTATGTATTCCGTTGTAAATATACTTAGATACCAAAAAGTTCATACAGTTGCATCGAAAAAATACCATTCTCGTAAGGTAGGTTGTCTCTTTCTAAAAAATCAATCCTTCGTGCACCTGATTTGATGCTGAAATTCCTTTCTTTCTGCTTTTTCATATTCATTATTTTCATGGAAAAAGGTTGAAAGTATTTGTTTTTGATCATTTAATGCGTTTGCTTTTGAAATAGGCAAAGGAACACTTCTCTTGCATTTCGATTTGGCTGTTCTTTCCTCTGATTGTGGCTCATATCCTTCTCTTCAATGGGGACAAAAATCAAAGGGATCTACAAAGGCTTCAAATATACTTTATCTCAAATCTTTGGTAATTTCCTCACATCTGTACATACCTTTGTTATATATATATTTGGTTTCACGTCCTACTGTTAACCTACCTCAAAATTCCTAGTCGGATTAGGGGCCGGTTCACGAGTTTTTGGTGATTTTTGGGGGCCGGGCTAAGTTGAAAACTTGTTTTTTCTTGTAGTTGTGAAGGAGCGTGAAATGGAGATTGGCTTCCCAACAGACGTCAAGCATGTGGCACACATTGGGTGGGATGGCCCCTCCGGTAGTGCACCCAGTTGGGTACGTGCGGTCCATATTTTTTTTCTTTCAAAATTTCAATTAGATTTACTTCGCACATTCAAGAATTTATTCTCCTATTCAATGAATATTGACCATTTTTTATTTATTTTTTGATATGTAGATGAATGAATTCAAGACAGGGCCTGATTATGCGGCAACTTCAATTGGTAATTCTGGTTCTGCACTTTCTCCATGGTCATCTCTAGGTTGGTTCTTGAAATCTCCTTTCCCAACCTTTTCTTCTCTCCGTATTTATCCTTTAGATTTATATTATAAATAATTCATCTGCTTGTTAGCGAGATGGAGTGTAATTGGAGTAGTTATATTGCATCCCTCATTTCAAAACCGACATCTAAGGTGAATCACGAAATCGATCTTTTCTTAAAATTAGTCCCCATTAAGTCGCTCCTATTTGAAATGTAAGTCATCCAAAAAAGTTTATCTGCTCTGCTACCAATTTTTATAGGTTTGACAGAAAACTAACACGCACGAGAGAGTGCCCAGTGTACTTATAAGCTCGTAAGTTAAATCTTGACTTGACACGAGACATAGTTAGATTCAATTACAAAAAACTTTTTGACACTTGCAAAGGGCATTGTCAAGAATTCAAGAAAGGACTATCATGTGCAATGTCCCAAATCAGATAAGTGCAAAAATTTATCACGGGGTGACAAATTTGATTGAGAAATTATATATGTATGTCCTGTATATTGTTGTATTTTAGACCTAAATTTTGAGAGATTTGGTATTGTTCCCAAGATTCTTTGCCTCAAAACTGGGGAAATTTTGGCTCATCTGTCACGAGATGTTTTACATTGTACCATCTATCTAGAAATGGCCCATGGAAAAAGACAGATTTTCTGGCATATAATCCTTATGTTGCTCCTAGAGCATATTTTAGTGGTGTAAAGGAAAATGGTGAGATATAGTCAATCTTGTTGATAGTCACAGTGTGAGGGTTCGATTCCTGAAACATGGATTGAGACTTTTTGTGGGTACCAGTGTACAGACAGCTCTTGTTCCTTGGCATTTTGGGGCACATCCCGCGATTAACCTCTCTTACAATGCTCTAGGGAAGGGAAGGGACGGGACGGGGCGGGCTGGGCGGTGGGGGACCCTTAAGGTTGGGATTCAACATTTTTTTTTTTTAATCCTTATGTTACGTGTAAACTGATAGATTAACATTAGTGCCTTAACTGTACAACATCTGAAGACAGACATACTAGTATAATAAATAAGATTTTAATATTTTTTTCTTTAATACTGTCTAGCACTGTTAAGTTGACTTGATTGTGTTTATATGTCTGAAATAGACTTTGGAGAATCTAGGCGGCTGCAATCAGGATCGGATATGTTCAGTGACATACCCTCAACAGAGCTTCCTAACATCCCTAAGAAGCCGAAAAGGAAGAAGTCCAAATCAACTTCTTCTCCTAAGTCGAGTTCGTCGTCAAGATCATCAAGGGCAGCAAAATCGAAAGCCAAATTGGTCGAAGGCAATCCCAATCCGACAAATATCGAAGTGGCATAATACATTTACAGATTTTGATCATATGAAATCATAAAGAGAAATTTTTTCCACTCTTGTAATGTTGGATAAAGTTTGCATATGTTTAGGGGGTGCATTGCATATGAGATTGAGATCAGAATCAGGAGGGGGGGACTAGAAAAAAGAAAAATTATATTTATCAAATATTCAAACCTGAGATTTATTTTGAGAAATTAAATTTTCTTGGTCTGTTTTTTTTTTTTTTTTTCCTTCATATTTTGGTCCGTCCTTTGAAGCAAGATGAGGAAGGGGCATGTAAAAAGTTAGAGAATTATTTAAATTGCCTTGAAAGTTGAAACTATCTCCATTTTTGCTTTTCGTTCTCCTCTTTCAATTCGAACTTCTGATTATCCTCAGTATCACTCGACATTTTCAGTACCATTGTCTAAAGAAAAAATTTATCGGGCTGTGCAGAGTTCTCGGCGGCCTCAAAATATGCCTTATCGTCACTGCAAATTCTCTGTGGTGCTGCTCGTCCGGCCCCTCACCAAACTCAAGCCAAAACAGCCAAAATCGTCACCCAATCCTTCACTTCAGAATACATAAAATAAATGTTGGGGATATTACACCGATTAATATACATACATCATATTCATAAAACTTATCATTCATATGTGTGAAATCGAAACATAATTCGACTTACCAATATTGGATTTGAGAAGATGAAATGATAACTACTGAAGCTACAACGTGACGACGGATTTAATCTTTTCATTCTTCAACGAAAAACTTTCTTCATATAAACCTTTCATAATTATCAAAAGAAAGTTAGCATTTTGTCTAGCTAATCGAAACAAAAGTTAAAAGAAATCAGAAAATAAAATAGGAAACGCCAGTGTTTGGATTGGTCGAGACAAGTGTTTGACACTTTCTCTTTAAGATGAATTTGTCCCTCATCGGTCCTAATGGTTTTCGACAATCATCTTCCAAGATGCAACTACCACGTCTCACTATAGGAGCACTCCAAATTACGTAGACAAATGAATGAACTCTTAATAGAATTCTCTCTCTCCTGAATCATGATTTTATGCAAGAAAAGGCCACTTCTACAAAGTGTTTTTATGCAATGTAAACAAAAGAAATAATATGGAATTATGAAAATGAATGGATACTGTTACGCCCCTAGCTGAACCACCTCAGAATATCCACCACAAGGCACTCCGATCTGCTAGACACCCACCCGAAGTGGTTCCGAAGTAATCTCTCCAATGTCACAACCTGCTATCACACTGTGCGCCACAGACAATTCTGCCGAACTGACCGAAGCGCCCTCGCCCATGATGTCGAGGCGAAGTGCACTCCGAGGACCTCTGTTAGAAGATACGTCGCCAATTTCAGAAGGAAATCTTTGTCAAGATCTTTTCTGCCCCTAAGGTTTAAATTGATTTGACGTCTTCATGAGACTAGTTGATGTGACTTATCAACTTTATATCAACTCAACTCGGGAAAAGCAATTACCCGCCCACTCTACAGACGCGGCTGATTGACACCTATGAGCAGACACCTCATACCGTCAGATGTATACAAGTGCCCCACATCCAATAGTTCATTCCACCTATAAATACCCAAGGGTTGGGAAGAGGTAAAGGTAATGAAACTCTTACTAGATAGCACTCCATAACAAGTATACATATACATATACATACATGTATATATATATATATATACATACATGTATATATATATATATATATACATACATGTATATATATATATATATATACATATATATATACATGTGTGTATATATATACATGTGTATATATACATATATATATACATGTGTATATATATATATATTTTCTCCTCCCCTTTATTATTTTGCACAACCCCTAGGTACTGTTCTATCCACCTGAACCTGATTTGACCGTCGGAGTGTATACGGCCGCCACCAACCCTACTGGTCCCGGCTGTGTGCGTCTGACCGTGCGTTGATTGTGCACAGAGAGGAATACGTTGAGTAGCTCTCGGTTGGCCACGTGGAAGGTCCAATTTTTGAGGTCAACAGATTGACGCCGTCTGTGGGAAACATTTCCCGTTCAAAGTTCTGCATTCTCCACCGGAGAGATCATCGAAAAACTAGCGACTAACCCTGAAAAGGGCACGTTCTTGAAAAAGAACAAAGTCGAGTTATAATCCAAGTTCTCACCACCCTTTGAAAATGAGATAGGATGAGTTATATTCATGAAGACGACAACCCCATGAGAGGCCTCTAAAGAGGAGGTGCTCCATAATAATGTTACTCACCAGAGACTCCATCACTGGCGACGCCGAGGTGGAAGAACAGCCATGCTCACTGAAGGAATGACTCAAATAGCTGCGGGTATGAGAGACATCGCAGCTCAGAATATGGCGATGCATGAACTTCTCATGCAAGCCCGAGGTCATCAGGGCTCTCAAATGCCCCAAGGATCTTACCCAGTGGAGGAAGCCCCAGTATCTCGTTCCCGAGGCCACACCAATCAGCACAGAGAATGCCCCCTCGAAAGAGAAGCGGACGCCGAAGCCACATCTTTTGTGCAAGGGAACCAGCCATCAGAACCACACTTGGGGGACAATTACCCTCAAGAATATGCGGAACAGAGGTCGGTAAGCATCTTCGATCGGATTGGGGAAGATCCTAGAAATAGGGTCCGCCCAGTGAGAAGATCAGTTCGGTCAGACCAGGAACAAGAACAGGCTCCTCCTCCTCCTAGAAATAGGATGGACAAGAGGAACCTAGTCGATTGGGGGAGTCAAGGAGAAACACCTCCACCTCCCCAGAACATTCAAGATGATGAAGGGTCAGATGGGGTCTGTCGTTCTTATGAGATCGACGATGATGATGATAACTTCCCTTTCTCAAGGGAAATTCGAAGCTTCCCAATGCCAGCAAATTTCATGCCCCCTAAGATCTCCAAGTATGAAGAAAGGGGGACCCGGAGAAGCACCTCACCAAGTATATGACACAAATGAGTCTCAAGGGAGCCTCGCCTGCTCTGAAATGTCGAGCCTTTCATTTAACACTAGGCGGAGCCGCCGAAGTGTGGTACAGCAGGCTTCCCCCCCTAAGCATTAGAAGTTGGCCAGATTTGAAGAAGGCATTCTTGAATCAGTACCTCTCGCGAAGAGAAGGAGAAGCCCCAGTACAACGCTTGCAAGATATAAGGCAAGCCCCTGGAGAGACGCTGCAAAGCTATCTCGCCCGGTTTACGAACAAAATCACATACTGCGAACATGTCATTGACAGAGAAGCCCTTTCAGCTTTGAAAGGCGGCCACAACATGAACACTTTGTTCTGGAGGGACGTGCGTAGCAAGAATCCTTCCACCTATAAGGAACTCTTGGAAATGATGAGAGTTGAAATCGTGAGTGAAGAAATGCTTGATCACCGAAACCGTATCGCGCAGAGACTCCCTCCTCCTCAGAGGTAGGTAGGTCGAGGACCCGCAGCACACCTTGTTACTCAACAATGGACTCAGGCAGGACACACAATAGCTCCCACCTCCGGATAGGCATTGGCCTCCGCCACACTAAATGCAGTGCCGGTATTGGCATATAAAAATGTTACTAGCGAAGTGGGGCCATCAGGAAGAAATGATAGCAAGAAAAAGAAGAAGAAACGATCAAACAGGCCCTTGGAAGGAGCAAGGTTTTGCACTTTCCATCAACTCTATGGGCATGACACCAACGAATGTAGAGATGCTCCTCAACGTTCAGACCGGAGCGACCCACATCCCTCCGGGAGGAATGAATATCCTCGCAGATCAGTCTCCCCAAACAGGGGAGATCGAAGGCACAGAGAGCAGTCACCCCGGAGAAGAGAATTAAGGGACCAAGGGAAGTCCAGGCAGAGAGATCAGGGCCCATTTTCTGGGGGCCAAATCATCAGGGAAATCGACACCATCATTCGTAGACCCTACATCGGTGGCAACACCAGGAATGCCCAAATGAATTATACAAGGGAAGTAAATGACCCACCAATGATCACTTACATTGTCAATGAGTCCCAAGGGGCCAATAGGATGGCCCCAATTACCTTCTCCTAGGGAGATGCGCAAGGAGTTCACCATTCCCATTGCGACGCACTGGTTGTGAGAGCCGTAGTAGCCAGAAACGGGCTCAAACGCATGCTCGTCGACAATGGCAGTTCGGTGAACATATTGTTCGGCTCCACCTTTGACAAAATACAGATTGAACATGGGTTGATCCCCATGACCGACCCACTATTCGGGTTTACTGGGGACAGCATCATCCCATGAGAGCGGATCACTCTGCCCGTCGAGATGGGTTCGGTACCCCTAGTGGCCCAACACTTCATGGAATTCTTAGTGGTAGACCACAGATCGACCTATCATGGAGTATTAGGCAGACCCGCTTTGAAAGATTTTTGGGCCGTCACATCCATCCACTACTTGTGTATGAAATTCCCAACTGAACATGAGATTGCAATAGTCCGTGGCAATCAGATGGGCTCCAGGGCATGTTACTTAAACTCCTTGTGAAAGTCGGAGCTCCGAACTGTTAATGTAATCCTAACTGAAGTTCCCACTGAAATTGGTACAGACGTGGAAATGCTCGACACCCCTGAACAAGGGCAGACCTCTGAACAAGAGGAAGACATCGACATGGAAGAGGCCCTTGAACAAGGGCACCATCTTGATGAGTTAGATCCCCGAATAATTGACTCTGAACCAAATGCAACCCCAATGGAAGAACTGAAATCTTTCTCCGCCAACCCAGAAGACCCCAGTCAGGTCTTGCGTATAGGGAAGGCACTGTCCCCCGAAGTAAAAGAAGAGATGATGAGCTTCCTGAAAAGGAACTTGGACGTTTTCGCTTGGAAGCATGAAGACATGAAAGGAATAGATCCAAGGATCAGTTGTCACCATCTTAACATCAACCCTTCTTGTGCCGCCCATCGACAGAAGAGACGTGCCCTCAACCCGGAGAGGTACGAGGCACTGAAAGACGAAGTAAACAAACTTAGCCATAGTGGTTTCATAAGGGAATTCATCTACTCGAAGTGGATATTCAACCCGGTCCTGGTGAAAAAGCACAACGGAAAGTGGAGGGTGTGCGTAGACTTCACAAATTTGAATAAGGTGTGTCTTAAAGACAACTTCCCACTTTCAAG